TTATTCTGATTTTATTTAAAAGCATAAATGAAACCGGTCTTTTCTGGCCGTGATTTTGGGGATGTCACAAATCAAGTGTTGGAGAATCCTCCAAAAGACCATGCTCCAATGATTTAAGTTTTGAAGAATCCTCTAAAAGACTTCTAACCAATCATTCCCTTCGATTTCTAATGTAAATCCACAGCCTACAACTACTCCAATTACAAATGTTGAATTGAAAGATCTTCCAAAAGACCCGGGTGTTAGACCAAAGATTACAACTTACCATCCAAATCAAAGAGATGAAATAAGGAGGGCATATTTGCTTCAAGGACCTTGTCAACCAAGGGGTCATACATTCCCTTCAAAGAAAATAGGTTCAAAAGAAAGACGTTTTGTTGTTAAGTGGTTTGATGACTTTGATTGGTTAGCATATAGCATAAAAGAGAACAAATCATTTTGTTTATTTTGCTATGTATGTGGAGACATGGTGGGAAAACAACATGGGAGAGATGCATTTGTTTCAGAAGGTTTTGATAGTTGGAATAAAAAAAAAATCATTGAGAGATCATGTGGGTGGTATTGATAGTTTTCATCACAAAGCAAAAGAAAATTGTGAATTTTTATTGAAAGAAAAACAATCTATTAGTGCAGCTTTCAAGAAGCAAACCAAGATTGAGGAGAGTAATTATAAACTTCGTTTAGGTGCTTCAATTTGATGGTGAACTTGAAATATATTATCACGCTTTGCATAAAGATGACCGGTTCACTAGTTTGCAAGGAATTTCCGACATTTCTCGTTTGATGGTGGAAACGGGGAAAGATCGGTCTTATCCTATGGTTTATAGGTTGTTGAAGTTGGTTTTGGTTTTACCCGTTGCAACCGCAACAGTCGAAAGATGTTTTCCAGCGATGAAGTTTTTGAAAACGGATTTGCGTAACAAAATAGGTGATGATTTTTTGAACGATGCCATGATTTCTTATGTTGAAAAAGAAGCACTTATGAAAGTGAAGATCGAAGATGTAATGGGTCGGTTTCAAAAAATGTGTACCCGTAGATTTCAAATTTAAATATTAAGATGTAATGGATCGGTTTGACGTACTAGTACTTTTAATTTTTTTTTATGTTATTATATTCGGACGAAAAAAAAATTATGCCACTGCTGTGACAACTTTCTGCGTCCGCCACTGGAAGTATTATTGTTATCAAATATTATTTAAATAAAAGTAATTTATAATTATAACACCTTCTATTTCTTTCCTTCATGTAACCAATCTATGATAATTAGATGAATGTCTGGACTTGAATTACAATTATGAATTGGGATTTACCCAAACAACATTTCAAGACTTATGACTCGATCTACACATTAACATACAAAAGTCATAACGTGGACAACACAAGATGTCTTGTCTTGCTAAACCTAAGCCTAAGCCTAAAATTTTTTAAAACGTTACACCACCACTTATTTCAAGTATACAAATACAAATTTTATCCATGTGCTGCATTATTAGGAGGATGCTGCTGTTGCATATCATATGCTAATGCACCTTGAGGCTGAGGTACAACTCCATGCCCATACTGAGGATCAACCATGTGATGTTGCTGCATCTCATATGGACCATTGGGTAAACCTCCAGACCCGTATTGTGGATCCACTCCACCCTGAACCTCAAACATGTAAAAATGGTAAATTTGTCTTCTTTCTTTAAAATTTTTTTTCCTGAAATGTATATATAATCCATATTTGATAAAATTTGCAAATAAACAATTGCATACCTGATGCATGGTGTATGCATTCCCAACATAACCCATATCATGGTTCACAAATCCTGCACCATATCCTGTTCATGTTTCAAAATTAACAAAATATATAATACAAAATTTGTAAAAATAATAATAATAATAACAAACCATGGGTAGTAAATTATTACCTGTAGTAGCAGTTGCAGCTGCAGCCCTTGCTCTTTTATCTGCAAGTTCTTTATGTAACTTGTCGATTTCCTGGGCCATAGACATCAAGCTTTTCTCCATTGCTTGGCTTTGTTCAAGGTTACTTGCATACACTTTTTTTTCATACTCAACTGCTGCCCTGTTTGCATAAACAGGGTCAAAACTCAAATGCCAACACTTTTTTAATCTTTTATTAGTTCCATAAATAATTAATATGTTGAATAGCAATAAATTCAAAATCTATTGATCTTTGTTTGATTGAATAGCGATTAGCAATAAAGTTATAACCCATTTTCACATAATGATGACATGGCAAAAAGGCATCGCAGGTCTTGGATGAGATGAATGTGCCACAGTTTTTTATAAAAAAAATTATATATCTTTTTTGTTGGCAACAGCAGTATATTAGACACGGAAATTCTATGTGGAACATGACGTGACATAAAAAATGTTAACTTGTACCATCTCATGATAATTCAAATCAGTAGGTTGCCAATTCCTATAATGGGTAGTTTTTTAAAAGTACAATTCCTTAATTAGAAATAATGTTGAAGTACAATGCTACAATAAGAAAGAAATAGAAAGTAAATTGCTATTTCTGGCATTTAGCTTTTTACTGAGGCTTAGAGACCCAAATTCTATATCACTTCTTATAATTCCCAAAATATGGAAACATAGCATTAGCATCAATACCCATTGCCTTATTAACTATTGATACAAATTCCAATCAACACTTAATGATAGTCAATAAACCACATTTTATGATCTTTAAATGGGTGATCAACACATCTTTTTCACACCCCCACCCCTTTCTTCTCCTCCCAAGGAATCAAGATTAGCAATTCAAATGTTTCTTCCAATTTTTTAGAGGATTGAAACACCCAACAGATTATCAGATTGATTGAAGTCAGCAAGGAGGTTTTGCTTTTAGATATGCCATTCAAGGACAAGCTAAAATTATCAATGAATTAGATTGAAGATTAAGAGTTATGCTAGCACTGAATGGGCCTAAAATCAGTTGACTATTTTTTATTGGAAATTTGGAATGAAGTTTAGGTTTTTATTAATTAAGGAAATATATATGAACTATCAACAGTTACAATGGGGAAAGTTCCTAACAGCAACAATTAACAGATGATAAGGAAGATTATTACCTTCCTCTTGATAGTTCTTTGTGCATGGCTTCTCTCTCCGCTTTGATCATCAGAACTTGATGTCCTTTGGACCTTTCTTTCGCAAGGTCACCGTGAACCTTATTTAACTTTTCATTAAGTTCTTTCCTCTCTGAACTCAATTTCTGTACATCTCCTCTGACCTGAATAAGCTCGGCACCTAATTCATCGGTCATTCTAGCTTCCGCCTCCATTTTGACGGCCTTCTCGTAGACCTCGCGCACTTCGGCATCTCTTTCGGCCTTGACATTGCCGGCAACGGAGGAGAGACGGTGAAGGTCCTGCAAAGCGATAGAGAGTTCCTGCTTTAGGGCGACGTGAGTGGCGGCGAGGCGTTGGTTGTCGAGGAGGAGTGATTGGATTTCGCGGTGGTGGACGGCGATGCGGTCTTCAACCTGGTGGTGGCGCGGAGGAGATTCAATTGGCGCACGGCGAGAGTGAGAATCTTGTCTGAATTTTAATGCATCTGGTGGGATGTAATTCCTACCGGCCATTTGTGGATTGTTTTATGGTGGTTGCCGCAGTGCCGCCGTGTGCACCCCCTCTCTTTTCCTTCTGGGCTCTGTCAATTATTAACGTTGCTGGTGTCGAAAACAACTACCGATCCTTTTAGTAATTTTAAGGGGTGTTTAAAAAAAAAAAAATTATTACTTAGTTGTAACACCAACGAGATAAAGGAAAAGAAATGCGTGAAAATGAGAAGAAAATAAAAAAAAAATTATGTTCTCGAGTTTCATTAAAGGAGGGAAGCGGAGAGAAATGAGATGATCACTTTCCCTCCTAACTTTCCTTCCGATTTGGGAGGATTTGGAAAGAATGAACAAAATGATTCATTTTTCTTTCACTTCTCTCCAACTCGGGAACACGAAAGAAAATTTTGTTTTCCTTTCCTTTCTCTTCTTTTCTCTCATGATTTTCTTTTCTCTTATCTTCTTTTCTTTTGTTAAACTCGGGAACGAGGCGTAAAAGTGTTTGGATAAATTAGCTTATAGCTTATTAGCTTATTAGTGGTGAGAGAAAACATTTTTGCAAAGTGTTTGGATTAAAAATAAGCAATAAACTATAAGCAATGGTGACAATGCTTATTAAAATTAGCTTATTTAGCTTATCCCAACCGCAATAAGCTGATTTTTAGCGTTTCCTATCTAAACACTTAGGTCGTGTTCGGCAAAACTAGTTGGTAGTAGATAGCGGTTAGCGTTTGATTTTGGAGCGTTTTGTTGAAAGCTACTTCATATAACTTTTGATTTCGGAGCGTTTTGTTAGGCTAAAAGTTAAACGTTCCGGTTGCCGAACGAGATTTTTTTTTTACTAACATTTTCTTAAAAGCTAGACACCAGAAGCTCCCAAACGCTGTGTGCCGAACACGTCCTTAAACTTAGCTTATACCGGTAGGGATAAGCAATAAGCTATAAGCTCATTCTTTTTTCCCTATCCAAACACCCTCTTAATATTTTAGTCGGTTCTAAATTTTATTTGTAAATAAAACATCCTGATTATCGGATAAAAATTTCAAATTAGTCATTTTTTATCGGTAAACTATTTTTTATCTAGTTATCTCTAAAAAAATTTCTTTATTTGGCCAAGTTCATGAAAAAGTCATATATATATATATATATATATATATATATATATATATATATATATATATATATATATTATTTCAACTTTTAAATTTTTCATTAAATTTTTGGAAATTTCTTGTTTGAAATTATAAATATGAATAAATGTCATTAAGCTTCATAAAACTAATGATTAAAGTCCTCTATAACCAATTATTTGCTACAAAACAATGAGGTTAGCATCATTTTGAACTCATCATCGTCTATATAATTCATTTCTCATGTAAATTTATGTTATAAGTATTATAATATATTCAAATTATATGTTGAACACCTTAGTAGTTAGTACGGTCTACCTAAAAGTAGGTTAAATGAAAACGAACTGATATATTCATATAAGAAATCACTGACTGATGACAAACCAATCAATACAATAGTAGGTTAGGTGAGACTATACGGATTATAAAAAAGAATATGTGTTTAATCCTTAAATCTTAAGCATATATAAAACTCATATTCTTCTCTATAATCCATATATTGGTTTTCATTTAATCTACTTTTAGGTAGATTGTACTAAGGTGTTCAAGACATAAGTTGAATATATTATATTACTTGTAACAAAATTTTAAATGAGAAATGGATTATATAGAGGATGATGAGTTCAAAATGATGTTAAGGTCATTGTTTTTATGACAAATAATTGGTTATAGAAGTCTTTAATCCTTAGTTTTATGGAGCTTAATGATGTTTATTCCTATTTTATAATTTCAACCATTTTTTTAGAGTTTTAGTAAAATGGTAAAGGAGTTGAAATAAAAAAAAAGTATGACTTTTTCATAAAGTTGGCCAAATAATGAGATTTTTCTGAAAGTAAAGTAACCACCGGTAAAAAAGGATCGATTTGAATTTTTTATTTGGTAATTAGACCGTTTTGTTAACAAAATAAAATTTAAGACTTTTGTCTAAACTGGACCAAAATATTGAGACTTTTTTTTGAAGATTTCCCTTAGTTATTAGTTTATAGCTTATTAACTTATTAACTTATAAGCTAATAAGTTAGAGAGATTTAACTTATGAAAAAAATGACTTATTAGCGGCTTGTCACGACTATAAGCTATTTTCATCCAAATAGTTTTTTAGCTTATAGAGGCGTGGAACCGCTAATAAGTTGTTTTGCCAAACACCCCCTTAGTTTATCTTGATTTAGGTTTGGCATTAGACAAAGTAATTAAAAAAATATCATCTTTATTTTATTTCTAAAAAATAATCGAATTGTCCCGAATACGATATTTCACAGTATAATGTTTGTTCCGAAGTTCAGGAGATTTGATGTTAAGGTAGTCCGAAATCTGAAATGCCATAAATTAGATTCGTTCTAGACTGTGTTCGAACTAATGTGACATGATATAAAGTTGGTAAGTTGACATACAACTATTCCAAACTAGTCCAAAACAACATATTCGAGACTTATTTAATGCTTATTTCATTTTCATTAACAACACCATCCCCTCTCACTAAATCCTAGTAACCCAAACTCTGGATTTGTTTGGATTCATCGTCTATTCGTTAATATGGTAATGTATAATGTTCTTATATTGTAATTTTGTTATTGATGATTTTTTTGAGTTTTGTCTATACGAGCCCAAAACAAAACATCCATGATACTATTCTGGAATAGTTTGTCGTATTCCAAACTGAAAATGTGTTCCAGGTTGTGTGTGTGCCCGAAATACATTGTTTTATAGAGTTTCATACTCAAAATTAACCTATATTTATGGCATTTTTGTGTTAAAATATGCTAGGAATACTCAAAGAATGAATTTAAAAAAGTCGTCGATTAATAAGAAGGAATTTAAAGAAGTCGCCATGTCAAAGGTTGTTTTTTATTATTCCATGTACATTTAGATTTGGTTTAGGGTGCCTAATACGCCTACCAACACTACATATTTAGCAGTTCAAGCATCTCTTGCAAAAGACATATGATACTTGATATTTTGGCCACAAGTAACCAAATACATGTAGACCAAGTGTGTCTAAATAGAGTATTATATTTAGTCATGGTATATGTTTTAGTTTTAGAAAATGTTAGGATATGTATTGTATTTCATTATGGTTTAGGGTTTAGGGTTTACGTTGTATATTGTAATGTATGTGGTTATATGTATATGCAAATATTTCCTTATTTATTTTTATTGGTACATGTTTCCTAAAATGATTAATATGTGTAGTTTATGTTGCATATTATACTATATTTGGTTATATGTTATTTTAATGCATTTGGTTATCTCACTCAGGAATGATCATTAAAAAATGTAGTGTTGGAAGTTTAGGCTTAGATTTACCATAATCACAAAACATTAGTTATCTCAATCCAGAATGATCAAATCTGTAGTTCAGAATCTGGAATGGCGTGTTCCATTACAAATTGTTCCAGTTGGGTTGATGTTAGAATCTAACAAATCCAAATTTTGGTTTTTATTAAAATAATTTTGAATAATTTGTAAACATTCAGTGCAGAATAAATAAGTTCAATTTCATTTTAAATAAGTTAAAGCCATTCATTCATTGTTCCAAAAGACGGAAAAAGTCAAAGTATTCTCAAAACATTAGAGTAATTTTAAATAAGTTAAAGCCATTCATTCATTGTTCCCAAAGTTTGGACCTTTATGAGTTTGGGATACTCCAGAGCATACTAGCTGTCCTTTCATGCATGTTAGGTCATGTAGATTCATAAAAATGGTTGCTTGATGGTCCTTTTCTAGCCATGCAATAGTTTGGTGGTGATGAGTGTGGATTAAGTTAGAGTTTTAAGGTTTAAGCCCTTTTCAGCCATGCAAAGGCTTAAAGTTTTAGACTTTATGGGTTAAGACGTTCTAACAAATTCAGATTTGTATTTAGATGCATGTCTTAATGATTAAGACCTTTTTGGTTTGGTTTTTGGGGTCAGACGGAGTACGCCTCACATACTACTGGCTACGCCCAGCGTAGCCAGGTGAGACCCCGATCCCGCCTGATTTCCAATGTACGCCCCGCATAGGAAGAGAGTACGCCCAACGTACGTGATGGGCAGTTGACTTTTACTGACTTTTTGACTTTTGGTCAAGATTTAGGGTTTTGGACCATGTGAGGGGCAAAATGGTCTTTTTGCTCTTAAGGGGGTTTGGTTGTGGGTCTTGGACTCGCGAGTAGAGTAATGGACCTTAGTTATTAATTAGGGTTAATTATTATGTTATTAGGATGAGTCTAGTTCCAGTAGTTCGTGTAACAACCCGAAAATCCTACCGTAAACGACGTTAATTTTTCCGTTACTTGAGGGACTATTTATGCAAAATATTTTAGCTCTATGAGGTTAAAATGGAATAAATTAACTAAAAATAGTATTATTTAATATCTAAAAGAATTAATCAAAATTAAAAAAAGGTGTGTAATTTAATGAAATTGATTTATGGAATTATTAGGGTAAAAATAATTCATTTAAGGGTTTATTATGAGTTGAGGGACTCAAATGTCATAAAAGGAAACTTTAATTGTCAAGATTCTAGGGTTAGGGTAAAAGGGGATACAATATGGGATTTAAGGGGCTAGATGGCAAAATGTGGAGTAACCCCCAAGGAGAAGGATCGATCCTTCTCTTTGTGTCCGTCCATTCACGTGATTACATAAAGAAAAAAACAATCGACCCTCGTAGGTGTGAGGACGTGCGACGCAAGGACCAAGGAAGAAAAAAAAACGCTAGCGATTTAGCGTGGAGAAGGGAGGAACGAACCGAGGAAAGAGGGGGAGGGGATAGGAAGGGCTGCAATTGTCGGCTGTTGGAGGTGTATTAGACCTGCAAAATCGATTATAATCTTGGTAAAATTCTTTACTTCTTATTATTCTCAAGTTCATATCTCAATTTCTTGAGAATTGGTGGAATTAGTGAGTCAATTTGGTGTTGTTGGTCATACTTCTTGCAACCTTCGATCTTATGATCTTATGTATTCAAACTCCAGCCATATTTGATTGAGTTTTTATGGATAAATGTTGTC